TATATATATATATATATATATATATATATATATATATATATTAAAATACAATGGGAATATAATGGGTTTAAGAAATCATCACCAATGGGTTGGCCTCTCAACAGCATGTGCTTGGGAGCCCATTTCCTTGGTAGCCTAATTTTTCACACGAGGACAAGGCAAAGATCCCGCTAATTAGTGGGCTGGCATGGGGCCAAGAAGCCTGGCCTGCCCTGGCCCAACTCTAAAAATCCTAGGCATGGGCCACAAAATGTGGCTTGAGAGCCGGGCCAGGGCTTGGCCACCACGGCCTGAGGCTGGGCGGGGTTGGGCTAGGGCTGGGCCAATGACAAGGCCGGCTCTAATTGGCCTTTTTCTTTTCTTTTTTTTTTCTTTTGTTTTTTCTTTGATTGTAGTTAGCCTGGCCCTACCCGGCCTGTCTTGATGGGGTTGGGCTCTGGCCAAGGCCAAAGCCTTTTCGGCTTGGTTTTGGCTGGGCTCAGCTCGGGCCAGCCCTATGGGATCAGGGCGGCCTAGTGTGGCCCGTCGCCACCCCTATCACTACCTGTTCTTTGATAGCATTTGTATTGTTTATTTTGTGGCATCGAGGGAAAACCGTATGGACTCATTAAAAGGATTACTACCATCTACCCTCTACAGAGTACAGAGTCATGGATGCTGAAAAGCGTGGCGAAGGACTTGAAGTTGTTTGTTTTCCTCTTCACATTGAAGTCAATGTTACATAGACACCGACAAGGGTGTCATCTAGTACATGTCTCAAGTGTTTAGTACTTTGACTTAAAAATCCAATATGGCCCGAACACATATATACAACATTTATATATATTATTTTTAAATAATAAATAATTTATCAAATAATGTTTACGATATACATTTTTTAATTTTTATTTTTTTTAAGAGAATCATTTGTGAATATAAAAAAATGAATAGGTGAACATGTTTAAAAAACAAAGTAAAAAAATGAAAATATAAAATTTTAGAAGTGTAAATGCATGTCATGGAAGAAAATAAAATATATTCTTTTATTTATGTCAAAAAAAATATTTGGCATAATGCATGTTATACATATTTCAAGATTGTGTCAGTAGAATCATTTGTAATTTGGTATTATCACAAGGGTGGTAAGCTTGAATTCAATAAAATGCATTTTATCTTTTAGAATATAAGTCACGTTTAAATTTTAGAGACTCTTTGTGGGACAATCTTAATATAATAAAAAATATAAAATGAATATAAAAAATGTGATTGTATACAATGAGATCATAGATGGATGTCACAATTACTTGCAACCATCCCATGTAAGGGCAACATGTGGGATCCAGTCTAAACGTGTCAACACATGTGGCGGTCTATATGTGTCAACATGTGGGCACGTGACAATGGAATATCTGAAGTGTCGAGGTAAACACTGTATGAGGTCCCTTTTTTTTGCTTTAGAGAGAGAGAGAGAGAGAGAGAGAGAGTGCTACCTAATTTTCTATTATAGTAT